GTACCCCTCCCTGTGGACATCCTCTCGTTGTGGTGACTTGTATGGTTTGTTCCCCCACACCCGTTTCTGCAGTTCTGGTGGCTAACGTTTCACACATCCAGGTGGATGTGGTTTTGTCCACTCCTTTTCTGACAAGCGCATTCTTTATTGATTCATGAGAGGTGTTATCGAAGGCCCCCTCTATGTCTAAGAAGGCGCAGATGGCTACTTCTTTATTCAGCAGTGTGTTTTGGATGCTGTCAGTGAGTTCAAATAGAGCGGTTTCTGTTGATCTGCCCGCTCTGTAAGCATGTTGCCTAGGATGTAGTGGCGTCTTTTCTAGAACATTTGTTCTGATATAGTTATTACAACTTTCTCAACTGTCTTCAGTAAGAACGACGTGAGACATATAGGTCTGAACGACTTCGGTAGAGTGGCATCCTTTCTCCCTGCCTTTGGGATGAAAGTTACTTTAGCTCTTCTCCATTGACTGGTTATGTATCCGGTCGCTAGGCTGTATCTAATGAGTTTGATTAGATACGGCATAATTTCATTTTGCACTTTTTGCAACAGGGCTGGAAAAATGCCGTCTACTCCAGGTGATTTGAACGATTTAAATGAGTCGATCGCCCAAGCCAGCCGCTGCGGAGTGCACAGGTTCTTGGCAACCTCCCAGTTTTCTTGTCTGGTTGTTCTGTGCCGTTCTTTGTTTTCTTCAGTACCATTGGGTATGCTTCCTGGAAAATGGGTTTCCAGTAGTAGAGCAGCTCGTTGCTCTTCATTTTCTGTATAACTGCCGTCTAGTTTCTTAAGTTTCAATGGTCCTTGCGCCCTGCCTTTTGCCAGGGTTTTGTATAGTTTGGCTGCTGATGGTGTTTCTGTGACAGATTCACATAAGTTCTAGAAGTTTTTCCGTTTGGCCTTCCTTAATTCTCTGTTGTACTCACTCAGCCTTTCGGTGTAGCCCTGCCATTCTCCGTCCCGTTTGGCTCTGTTAAAGAGACAGCGAACCTCGGATCTAAGTCGTGACAGGTGACTATTCCACCATGGGCAACCTTTTTTGTTTACTTGTTCCTTCACAGGACATCTGGATTCGTATGCCTCCGTGATTGCTCCGTTAAGGATTTGAAGGGTTTCTTCTACTTCACGTGTGTTCCTGCAGCTAACCTTATTTTGTTTCAGGTTGCGTTGCAGTTTGCTTGTGTATTCTTCCCAGTTTGTGTTTCTGGGGTTTCTATACGAGGCAGTTCGTTCCTGCACTCCTTTCACTTCAAATATTATGGTCCTATGATCAGAGAGAGAGGGTTCATTCGAGACTCTTCAATTCCTGATCATTTGGTCAATATTTGGACTACAAAGTGTTATGTCTAACACCTCCTGTCTGATCCTAGTAACAAATGTTGGTATATTCCCTACATTTAGTATATTCAGGTTTGTTTGAAAGATAAACTCTAACAGTTGCTCACCTCTTAGATTTGTGTCGGTACTTCCTCAGATAGTGTTGTGGGCGTTGGCGTCACATCCAATTAGGAGCGGTAGTTTGTTCCTGTTGCAGTACTCGACTAGTCTCTGTACTTCTTCTGGTGGTGCTTGCCCATCTCCAGCGAAGTAGCCTGATGCCAGTACTAGGTCGCGGTGTGGTGGGTCGGTGGTAAGTTTTAGTTCAGAGTGTTAGGTTCCATATCTATATGTTGGGGTTGAGCATTAGTTTTTCCAGTTGAGTCTCGGATAACATTCCAAGTCTCTTCGATGAATTTTGTATGTGGTTTTTGTAGAATAGTGTCTTCGCGTCGTGTATTAGTTTTCTGTAGTGTTTACGATAGAGAAGGTAGTAGTTATAAATGAAGGCATCGTTGTTAAAATGTTTTCTAATGATATTTGAAGACCTTAGATTTTCCGCGGATGCTCTCAGACTTTTAGTAATCCAGTATTTTTGATTGTTTATTTTTCGCAGCGGGCGAAGAGGAAATGATTTATTTACAATTTCAGTTAGTGTCAGATGAAAGGACTGAAGCGGGTTGTTTGTAGTATATATGTTATTCCAGTCAGCAGTACTGCACATTTGCCTAAAGCGTTTCTTTCACTGAAAATCCTCCCGCGATTTTTACGAGAAATTGTGGCTGCAGTTAAAAGTGGAAAAGAAGCTAATACAGCTTGATAATCAGACAGTGCAGGATCATCTGTTTAGCAGCCAACTTCAACTTCATTATCCAGATTAGAGCACACCTAGTCTATGGTTGTAGATAAATTGTTTATGATGTGTGGGTTCTTTATATTGGATAATAAAATTTCAAAGTTTTCAATAAAACTGGTAACATTGGTGTTTGGAGCGCGGTAAATGCATATGACATAAGTGTCTTAAGGATTTATAGTAAAGCAGTGAGAATTCAAAGATCTTCTCAATTATAAGGAAATCGTACTTGCTACAGTTACAGAGATCACTGTTCTCAGCGAATTCAGCACTTATCAAAATAGCAGTGCTCCCATGCTCAAATTCATTTCTGCAAAACTTCGATATCAAATCAAATCAAAAATTGCTTTATTATCAAAGATACAATTTTATTGACAAAGCTAAACTTAAATCTATTATCAACGAAAAGTCTTAGAACTAGTTAATATGAAAGGACAATCAAAAAATAAATAAATAAAAAATACAATGCACACACTTGAAAAACAAACTGTTAAGAATATAAATACATACGTAAAGTAAGCCTCGAAATCTAGCTACGAATTAGGAAAGCATACCAACCGCATTAAAACGATATAAAAATCAATCAATTAAAAAAGTTGACCAGAAAAAACTTTTCATTTACAAAGCATATCACTTAAATAATAATAATGATTAAAAATATCTAAGAAATACAATTTAAAATTTTACCTACGATAAAAATATGTATGCTCACAAGGTGTCCCCAAAGAATTCTTCAACATTGTAGTATGCCTTAGTCAAGAACAATTCCCTTACCTCCTTTCTAAACCTTCTGTAGGAACGTAAAAATCTAAAGGTTGTGACAGTGTATAGTAATTTGGGATAGATAGTGGTTCGGAATCTTTTAGCCAGTGTTCAGTAAGCAAGACTATATGAGGAAAATGTTTACTTTCTAAATAAATAAATAAATCATTTGTTTTATTTCTAGCCGACTGGATGTTAAGAAAGAAAGCAAAAGATTTATCGAGTTTGGTTTTTGGGACAAGGGGGATCTTTTATTTGGTATAGCTTCTTCCCTTAAAAAGAGACCTAGGAGTTGGGATCCAGACCAGTACTGTTGCAAACTTGGATTCCCCACCCAGATTACATTTGTTGCTCAGCTCCTCAAATAGAGAAACAGAATGAGTCGTATTATTCAGTTCGCAGATATTTATGGTTCTGTTTGGTGCCTGTGAAGATCTTTTGTGCGAGGATCTGTCAATGGGCAAGATGGTCGATTGGTTTGGTAAAGAATTTCTGCATTCAGCGACCATTCTACCAATCAGCCAGTTCCTCGCTTTGTTTGTATCCCTTGTCAGTGTTAACATCAACAAAATCAAAATAAGTATCAGAAATGTTATTAGGAGCTCTCACAACCTTTTCTAAATTTATGTTGAAATGGCTTATATAATCATTAATTTTATTGTTTTTATTTTTTCGTACTAAATAAATAAATAAATAAACGTTTATTATGCAACCTAACAAAAAGTTTACATTAAATAAAAGGAAACATTCACATAGTGTTCTTCCATGTTACCTTGTTTTTGAAAACAATAATTTTCACAATTTATCTGTTTATTTGTTGTGCCTGCTGCAGAAGACAAGACTTATATTTCTTTTTGAAATTAACAATTGTGCTTGACGTTATTAAGTTATAAACATCCGAATTTAAAAGTTGTATTGCTTGAAAAGAGAAAGAGTTTCCAAATTTTGCTGTTTTATGTTGGGGTATGTGAAAGCGAACCATATTTCTTAAATTAAGATTGTGTAAGTCTTGGCTCCCGATAAAATACTTCACCAAGTAACTCGGGCAGCCCAATTTATAAATTTTACAAACAAATTGCCCAAAATGCAGGACAGCACGTTGCTCATATTTTAGTATGCTGTTTGCTAAATATGTGGGAGTCACATGATCAAATTTTCCTAAACAGAAAACAAGCTTACACAAGAATTTTGTGCAAGTTGTATTTTATTCTTATATTCAGAGCTAAGATAATGGTAGAAAACTACACTACAGTAGTCCAACTGAGAAAAAATTAGTGCTTCAACCAGCATCAGTTTAATTTCACTAGGTAGGATGAATTTAAAAGGATATAGACTTCGCAGCTTGACATAAATACACAAATGACAGCTATGGGAGAGCCTTAAAATATAAAATTGGTATGTAAGCAATGTTTTATCGTTTCATGAATCGTGCTATATTTGGGTCGTTTGTTATTGAGAAAGTCATTAGAACCGGTAATCACAATTACATAATCATTCGCATCAAAGTTCCTAGTATGTGAGTTCAATCCTGTTAAGACGTTATCGATGTGAGCTCGTTTATAATAGGTTAAATATTGAAGTGACCAAAGTGTAGGTGTTTTGCAATATAATTTGCAATTTAGAATATAATCATTTTCTTTCACAAACCTCGAGACAAACCCCAAAACAAAACCACAAGAAGTGTCTAATACCTTGGTAGTTTTTGCATGGAAAGTTTCAAAGAGCTTATTACCAATATTGGCCAAGTTGGAGGGTGCATGGGTAATTTAACTGAGAATTGACCAAATATCAGTTGTTCGTTTGAGTGTCACCTATTTAATGAGCCAAATTAGGTTTGATTCTTTGGGGCTTGTGGTGTATATTATTCTAGTCCATTTATACTAATGTGTTTTTTCAGTTTACTTATGTGTTTTTGTTCCAATTTGAGTAAAAACAGCATTTTTTTTCCATAAAGTATAGGTACTTACTTAAGTTTTTATTGATTTGAAGCTTGGCATAAGATGATAAATAATTTGATTTTTGGATATTTATTATTGTTTATAAACAATTTCTACTTATTCATTTTCAGGTATGGTTCTGATATTGCACATTGAAAAGAAATTCGGTTATATAATTCGATAATGCAGCAAGCTAATCGGTATAGGTCTTACTCAATTCAAGTTGGCCAAGGACAAGGTAAATTATTATTCTTTTTCCTTTACTACAGCTTATTTTCAGACATGCTTTTTTTGATGTACAATCAATCATTTTTATTCTTATTTCTCAGGCTCGTTTCCACAAAGTTTAAGTGGAAGTGAAACCGATGTGTCCACATCAAATGAAAATCTTTCAAACGAGGAAAAGTATGTTATTAGACATACACCCAGGCAGGAACCACAAGGCGAAGAAAATCTTCAGGCTAGTAATAGGAGCTCTTTAAGGGACAGCTTACCATCAAATCGCAGTTCTCTGGATGTTTCATCTTCTTCTTATAACACCCTGATTATTCATAGTGCTGGAGACGAACCATGGACTGGTAAGAATTGATAAACATAATGTATTTGTTATAAACATAATCTCTATTAATGCTCATACACACATACACTGTTTACATACGTCCAGAAATTTTTGACTCATATTCAAGTACATAATATAATGTTTCAGTTCAATTTTAACCTTTATTAGGGGTCTCTGAAATAATGATTTTTCAAAATTGATTTTTTCTTTTGTTTGTTAGATGTTTTTTTCTCTTTGATATCGCAATTATTTGTTAACAAAATAGTGTTGATTTTCTATTTTCAATAATTTAAATAGCGACATTATAGGTGTATCGAGACTCGAGAGGTTTATCATCATTGTTTCAAATAATGTTCCCTTTTTTGACATTGTTCTTCTTTTGTATTGGTAAGGTCATGATTAAGTTGAACCTAAACTTTGGCGAAGGAAAAACTTAGTTCTTTTGGATCTCCTCAATCAACAATTTGAATAATTCATTTAATATATCAAACAAAAATTTTCGCAAAAATCACAATTTAGAAGATATTGAAGTTACCTCGTTTATCAAATTTGATGTCATCATAATGAATCATGCTAATTTCAAGAATGCAGCCACATACAAAACAAACAAAGTTGCATTACTCTTTTAATGTTGCTCTAATATGTAAACAGGTATATTAAAAGATAAAGCCTGGAGCGGTTTTCATTGAGAGCTCAAGGACATATTTATTGTTGCTTAACTTTGTTAAATTTATTTTTATTTTCATAAGGTGATTACGTTTGGTAGTGTTGAGTTGGAATGTCTAAGTTAGGAAGCAACGTGTATGTGTGAATATTAATTACAAATGACTTTTTTGGTGATTGCAGGAAGGAATTCTGGTCCTACTTCTTCTCCACATAGTTACCTGCATCAACATCAGGGTAACTTTTATAACAATGATCCAAAGATGTCTCCTGGGCAAAAAAGAAGTTCTGCATCTCCATCTCCATCTATTACTAGCACAGGTAATTTATGGTTTTAAAAAATGAATGCTTATGTTGTAAGTTATCTAGGACCTATGGGTTATTTTACCATTGTATTTAATGCAATATTTACACACATAGGTAATAGATAAAATAAGTAAGGTACCTGACCCAAATAAGGCCATGTACCTAATAAGGCCAATGCCCCTTATTGCTTAATATTGAATCCCATAATCAAAAATTGAAATATTATTGAAAAAGATATCTATTATGCAAATCAAAAATTATTGCGAGGATTCCTAGCAACTCGTTATATGTCGAAAAATGGCTAACCACAGATTTCATATGTCACGTTATAACTTTGAGGCTGGAACTTAATTAGTTTATACACATGTTCAGAAAGGGAATGGAGCGAATGTAATTTTTACATGGACATTTATGTATTGAGAAAGCTACAGAGTAAGTACAGAATAATATCTTTGCTAGATTTCTAGTTACAGAATTTTGTTTATCAATGTAACATGTTCCTAACAAGGCCACATGAAAAATTTTCAATTGGCCTCCCATCACAGTGTTTTTTTAAAAAGAATGTGTCATATTATTGCTTAAGTGATGTGTTCTAGAACGCCTGAAGTCTAACCAAGCAAGAAAAGCTGCGGTTCATTTGTCCTAGTTGTATGTAGACCTATTCGGATTACCATCCCTGGACTTCAAATTATTGTTTTTTTAGAATGCAGCAAACGTTAAAGTTCTATTTTGAGAACTTTATGTCGAAAAATAATATTTTTATGAATGATTCTATTTATTTTAAACATTTTTTATTGTTGGCCTTATTAGGAGCATAGTGATCCGAATAAGGCCAATGGTAAGGGTCATTGTTTTACGCAAAAACCACCACTTATATGTAAAAATAAATAAATTGGAGTTATTATTCAAGTAATAGAGGCGAAACACTTCACATATAAGCTCGTGATTCTTGTTGGGTTTGGTGGATAGTGTTCGGGAAAAATAAAACTTCTTAACATGGCCTTATTTGGGACAGGTACCTTATAATTATCACAATTTGGATTCAATTTGTGATCAAATAAAATTAGAAAAGTTTCCTATGTTCAAAATATTCAATGAAAAAGCAGTTAGGCCAATGAGTTGATTGTTCTATTGCTTGGAAAAATCTCTCTTATTCTTTTTTTTTTTCAAAAGCGATTCAATTATCACATAGTTGACGCTAAACCTGGAATAAATAGAAGAAGACTTCCAGCATATAAATGTTGCTTATTTCAAAAGTAGATATCAAGTCCTCTCCAAGTCTCCTATGATCTAAAATTTTGGATCGCAGTTTGCCTAACCTCTATTTAGGAACATTTCTCTGTCCTTTGGGTATTTAAGTTATCCTGCTTTGGACCCATTACAAAACTATGTCTTTTCCTGTGCTAAACATTATTAATATGATGTATGATGTGTCTTTGAAATTTATACTTAACAGTTTTATATAGCTGAGAATCTGATTTCTACTAATTTTTGTATGTATTACTATTAAGGCGAGGCGAGCATTAGATTTTCAACTCCACCCAAGTTTTAACTGGTGTGACAATGACAAAAAATACATAATTTGTGATTTTCAGTTCCAAATGTATTGGCAAAACTATGGCTATGGAACTTCAATGGCCATGTATGTGACATATAGATACCTTTTGAAAACGAATGTCCCTTCTATCGGTTTATTATTACCAATAATTATTTTTAATAACTCAATCCTTCACGAATTATGGCTTGATCACTAAAAATTGTATATATGGAGAAATGTAGGCCCAACTTGAGCATAAAAATTTGTTACAGGTGTCCAAGAAATTACTGAAATACCAGATGATTACCTAAGCCAATCTAGCGTTTTAAAGCACTTAGCCAAAGAAGTGAGTATTTTGTTTTCCTTATTGCATTGGTTTTTTTGTTAATTTGCTTTTAGGTAAAAGCACCCTCGCCAAGTAGCACAGTCAATCACGAAATTATTCACGATCTAATTGGTAGATTCGACGCCGCATCTTTCGACATCAATAATCTACCGCCTACAACTGAGTATCCTAGCAAATGGGCAGACAAATCTCCTTTGCAAGCAGCTATTAATAGCAACAAGATAAACGACAAATTTACATTATCAAAGTCTCAACCCGATTTAACGTCGCTTGGAGTTGGAAAAACTGATTTTACTGGTAAGAATCTCTAGTTTTGAATTGTAGATTTTTTCTAATATGGTTAAAACACCTATTAATTCTTATAGGTTTTCGAAGGGGAGTATCAGCACCAAGGCCTCCAACTAAGGGCAGGGAGGAGAATGAATCGAAAAACGAAGAAATCTGGCCCTCTGGGGAAATGGTAGAGATTCTGATAAAAGAAAACAGTGCCTTAAAGCATGAGCTTGAAAATTGTTACCAGCGAGTTGAGAAAACTCATAAGGTACTTGATCACGTCACAATTAGCATTTTTTACTTTGCTCTTCGATTTCCAGTTAGAACAAGAAATTTATAAAGTTCACAAGGCCCACGAAGACCTAGTTCAATCTTGTGACAGACGAGAGAGACTAGAGCGTGCTGCCAGAGCACGATTACAGTCAGATTGTCGTCGTTATCAGGAATTGAACAGAGCTTTGAGGGAACAGGTAATTGTCTTCTTAAATGACAATGGAGGTTTTAATAAAATTACCTACTAATTTTTTAAGGTTGATTTGTTATCTACACAAGTTCTCAGCCGTTCTCCAATTCCTGATTCTACCGGACCTGATAGTTTGAGAAGAGAATTGAGCAAACGAGAAGGAATTATTAAACAATTAATTATGCAGAGTAAGACGCAAATATTGAATGATATAAATAAAATTAAGTCTATGTTTAGATGAGCTTCTCATAAGCATGAGTTTCTTGAATGAGTTTATTCTCCATTTCTTATGAATAAAAGCAATTTTTTGGTGATAAATATGTGCAACTAAAAGAATGACATCTGACATCTTAGTCTTTAAATACTTCAAAATTTTCTCATATTCTTGAATCTTGAACAGATTCTGACCAAGTAGAGTTAACACTTGTAAACTTCACATATTGCTTGAACATTTATCTCGAATAATTGACAGCTTAAAACGGCAAGGTGTGAGTTAGGGCTTGGTTAATTTGTGAAGGATGCCAAAGGTAGTGAATCCAGTTATTAGAGAGATATTGGTGAACCAGATAGCGCGTATGGACGGTAATAACGTCAGGAGTTATTTTTTTTTTACGTAAAGCGTATCATACTTTCAAATTATAGTGATCGGAAAACAGTTTTACGTAAAATTTGCCTATTAGACTATCCAAGATGCTGTCAAACTTAAATTAAAATGTCCGCCAAGAGGCACACAAACCCTTTGTTTGCTTGTCAAAGTCACGTGTTTTGGATAGGCTAATTCGCATTCGTTATTTTATAATCTTAACCTAACTTGTACCTTGTTTTTATTTGTCAATGTTGATTTTGATATTGATATTTTTTGAACATAAGAAAAACCGCGCATGCCTATCTGAGCATTTTTTATGCGTTATTCGAAATAACGCTTAACGTAAATAGATACTTTTTGTACTTCTTATTTTGCCATTCCGCTGTGGTTATTGGCCGAGTTCGTTTTTGTCATCTTTTTCGTGGATTTGCTCCGAAATTTTGACAGGTACGTGATTTGTCAACTGAAACTGTCTTATTCAGTCATGTGCCTGTCAAAATTTCGGAGCAAATCGACGAAAAAGATGACAAAAACGAACTCGGCCATTGTTATACTGAGTATGCGCAGTAGCAAAAAAATTTTCGTTGTACTTATCAACCACAACAAGCTGCCTTATTTAAGGAGGAATAACCTTGTGCTTATAGCTATACATATGGTTATGGTAAAACTGCGTGGATGCCACATTGAAAAAAATTTGATAGATGTTATCCCGTTTTAATGAATAGTTAATTAAAATCATCTGAAAAAGTAAGTGTCGATTATCATTTTAATGTTATGAAATTGGTTTACATCCGAAGGCGCAGGCGCAGTTCATGGCCCAGAGGCAAAATAGAATAACGGAAATATGTAAAAGTTTGGCGTTGCAAAATTTCTGATTTTGAAGGTTGTGGTAATCGCTATCGTCGATAAAGGTCACCATAACTGATCCAAAAACTGCTATTTTAAGGGGTGCAAAAAGTCTCTATTAACTCATGATCAATACCATTTGGGTCTTGTCTTCTTCTGATAACGTTATCTAGGGCATCTTCCATTTTTTTAAGCATTCGATAGGACGAATAAATGAAAAATAAAGAAAATAAAATTAAATAGGTCACCAAAAAACACGAACTCACAAAATCACAAGGATAAAATTTCAAATGATAATAGTTATTTATACACCAAGTGAGTTAAATGAATGTTTATTCATGAGAAGAAAGTTTAACTCACGAGCCCCAGCGAGTGGGTTAATTTTCTTCGAATGAATAAACATTTTAACTCACGTGATGTATACAAAATTTTATCCCATTTTGTGGAAATTTAAAAAATTAAGTACAAGGAAAAATGCCGGGAGTGAGTTAAAAATATTTTAAATTACTGAGGTTTTAGATTTTTAGATAGACAGAGTGACTTAAAATGCCGAGAGTGAATTAAAATGTTTTTAAATCACTGAGGTGATAAACGTCTACTTATAGTATTTGTAATACCCATTTAGAATAACCTCATCCTTATTTATCAATAACGAATCAGATGAAACAAAAAATCACCAACAAAAACGAACGTCGATTGTTAATACGTCAATTTCATCTACAAATAGGAAATTCCTAACCTGATTTTATTTGTATGTCAGGAAGCGACATACTTTTTGTCACTAAAACAACAGGTACTTCTAAATAGGTATTAAAAATACTATACCTTTATTGTTATGCGTTCAATAATGTCATTTTTAAACGTCAAAATGGGATAAAAAACATTAATATTTCTAGGTTAGATTGTTTTATTTATGTCAGGTTACGCCGACGCAAAATAACCGATATAACAAACTCCTTAGAGGCGCTGCAAAACCTCTATCTTTAAAGTTTACGATATTCGTTATCTAAATTTAACGATAACGGAGCCAAAAAAGGCTGTTATTTTAGGAGGTGCAAAAAGTCTCTATTGTTGGGTAAATTACGTTATGCGGTAACGTTATTTCAGTACGTAGTGTTGAAAATCGAATCGCGCATACGTTTAATGTCAAAATAACGTTGGCGCTAATACTGCATGATGCTATTTGGGTTACCGATATCTCTATTACCCTTTTTTGGAAGCGTTGATTTCTGAATGTAGTCCAATATCCTCACCCATGCCTTCATAAAAGCTAGGATTATCTTTTTGCTCGTTAATTTAATACAGAACTTTTAAATTATGGTTTGCTACCTATTTTTTATTCATATGAAATTGGAGTATATTCGCTTCACATATAAAAGTACACAACCTTAATTCTATTTTATTAATTTTACAGGGTTAGCAAAAACCCAAATTTCAATTGGGTTTTTGAGTTTTTGTGGGTTATTGGGTGGTATGAATAAAAACGAAGTACTTGCTACTACTGCAAGTATTAGTTCTACGTAGTATTTACTTCAAAAGGAAGTAGATACTACATTTCGAAACTACCAGAAATTAGTAAATGCTTCTTTGTCAGGTAAATACTGCGAAGAACATACTAATACTTGAAGTAGTAGCACGTACTTCGTTTTTATTCATACCACCCATTGTGATAGCTTCAAAATTGAATTTATCAAAACATTTAAAATTTTCCAGAAATGACACTGAGACAGTTTTTGTCTCACAGCTTCTTTAATTTTCATCCGATTGCAACACAATTAGACTCTAATTAAAGCCAAATAAATTCTCTATAAACTTGTTAATTAAGATTCTACAGTTTTGCACCTTAAAAACTTCAAAATTGAAATTATCGAACATTGAAAGTTTCTCAAAAATGACATTGGGGCAGTTTTTGCCTCACAGCTCTGTTAATTTCTACCCGATTTCAACATTATGCTCGAATTAAAGCCAATTAAATTTTCTACAAATTTGTCAATTAATATTTTAACTTGGTTGTAACAGTTTTGCACCTGAGAAGCTTTAAAATTGAAATTATCGAACACTGAAAATTCTCCAAAAATTACACAGAGAGGTTTTGCCTCACAGCTCCGTTAATTTTCATTCGATTTCAACGCTCAAATTAAAATCATTTAAATTTTCTACAAACCTGTTAATTAAGATTTCAATTTAGTTTCAACAGTTTTGCAGCTGAGAAACTTTAAAATTGAAATTATCGAACATTGAAAATTTACCAAAAATTACATTGAGGCAGTTTTTGCCCCGCAGCTCCGTTAATTTCAATCCGATTTCGACATTATTATGCTCGAATCAAAGCCAATTAAATTCTCTACAAACCTATTAATTGAGATTTTTATTTAGTTCCAACAGTTTTGCACCTGAGAAGTTTCAAAATTGAAATGACACTGAAACAGTTTTGCCTCACAACTCCTTTATTTTCCATCCGATTTCAACGCAATTAGACTCTAATTGAAGCCAATCAAATTTTCTATAAATCTGTTAATTAATAAATTAATATTTCAATTTGGTTTTAGCCGAGGTGGAAATTTTCCAAAAATTACACTGAGATGTTTTGCCTCGCAGCTCCGTTAATTTTCATTCGATCGCAACGCTCAAATTAAAACCAATCAAATTCTCTACAAACCTGTTAATTAAGACTCCAATTTAGTTTCTCAGCAGTTTTGCAGCTGAGAAACTTCAAAATTGAAATTATCGAACATTAAAAATTTGCCACAAATGACAGACAGTTTTTTCCTCACAGCTCCGTTAATTTCTATCCGATTCCGAAATTATTATGCTCGAATTAGAGCCAATTGAATTGTCTACAAACCTGTTAATTAATATTTTAACTTGGTTCTAACAGTTTTGCACCTGAGAAGCTTTAAAATTGAAATCACCGAACATTGAAAATTTTCCAAAAATTACATTGAGAGGTTTTGCTTCACAGCTACGTTAATTTTCATTCGATTGCAACGCTCAAATTAAAACCAATTAAATTCTCTACAAACCTATCAATAAAGATTTCAATTTAGTTCCAACAGTTTTGCGGCTCTGTGAAGTAGGCTGGCACATTTGAAGGACAAAAGTTAAATTTTACGTAATCGTTTAGCGCTTTGTTAGTGCTTCGATGTGCTTTCCTTCCCCAAATAAGCAATCCTTGTATTTTCGGAGATATTTCGGTTTTTTGAAATCGCCTGCTCACTTCACACCCAGCAGGAACAAGGAAAGCACCAAGGTTCAGTTACAGATAAATGGTTAGTGCTTCAATGTGCTTCAATCCCCAAATTAGCAACCCTTAAATTTTCAGAGTATTTCAGAGTTTTTAGAAATCGCCTGATAACTTGACACCCAGCAGGAACAAGGAAAGCGCCTATGTTCAGGTATAGATAAATGGTTAGTAGGTTAGTGCTTTGTTAGTCCCCATTTAAAGTCTGTTTTTTTTTTTAAGATAAAACCCCATGTCAAAAATTTAGTAACTATGTTGGCAACACAAGCCTTTTCTAAGTGAAAAATTTGAAAGCATTGACAATTTCACATTGTATTGCCAACATAATGTCATTTTGACTTTTATCTTTAATAAAAAAACAGATTTTAGCAATTCTTGAATTTTTAGACATATTCTGGCTTTTAGAAATCGCTTGGTTGGTTTACACATAGCAGGATCATTGGAAGCACTAACGTTCAGTTGTAGATGGTTACTTCTTCGTTAGTGCTTCAATGTACTTCTTTTTTTTTCCAGTT